AAACTACTTTCATCATGAAGTTTTCAAAATCTTGATATACAATACGTATCAGAAAAAGAGGGTGAGTGGCATATAAGGTAGGACAGCATAGAATTCGCCTTTAACTTGACATATATGAATCACACGCCTAAAGCGGAGATCATAGCTTGGCAAATACTTCAAGATGGAGCTGAACACACTTTGAATTCTCAACTGAGAATGCTTCGAATACCCGCAACCAAAAGGTTGCCGTTGACTGTAGAGCTTTCAGACCAAGTTCTGTTATTTTACAACAAATGAAACGCTGGTAATTTTTTTATTGAAAGTAAAGCGCAGAAGTCCATTAGGAGCTTAATTCAGCATCAGAAGTTAGTGCTAGAGCCCAGCAAGGTGAGATGCGTGATCTAAGAAGTGAAAGGCGGCAGTTGCATGATACATGCTTGGTGGCTTAAGTATCTGGATTCCGAATTGTCTATTGTAAGAAAAAATCTCACCTTGACTATCGCTGTCACTGGGTTGATCAGTACGACTAGCACGTTTCATCATTTGCTGGAATGGCAGAGCCACCTTAGACATAATCAGATCGTTTAGTGTGTTGCGAGGAGGATTTCCTAAATGCTAACAATGAATGACATAGATTAAAATGTCGTTTATCTTTCGTAGAAAACGTATCGTCTGAGACATTGGACAAACCAGGATTCAAAAATGGTGTTGCCGAGGAGCTCACCATACATCTGTTGTAAACTTGATTGGTTGAGAGTTTGTTGCTGGGTAAGAATGGGGAAGCATTTTGATCAGGTGATAATCTGCACTTTTACGACACCTGGCAAATACTACAGCTAAAGTTTAACCAGCAATGGCTATGGCAAGAGAAGTGGATCTTTCTTGAATCGAAGGGGTCCAGACAACGGAGAAGTAGCAAAATCTATCGTAAGCAGGCAAAAGAGTTCTGGCAAGAACATGGCAGAAGCGCCTATACGTCGCGTGCTATTCTTCCATAATTATTCTATGAGGTCGCTGAAACT